AAGCTGTTCGTAATCGGTTAAATAATAAATTGAAATATTCTTATAGACGCGTCGCCAACAAAAGCCTTCAGCATTGTTTGGAGATACGCCAAACTTATTCGCAATAATAAGTGAAGAATTTTATTAGTTAAAATACTCCATTTTCTGAAATCGTAAAAGATCTGTATAGAAAATTAAGTTTTAGAATTTAAAAAAGTCTTTACTAAAATTATTGCTTGAGTATGGCAGTTTAATTACATTGATAAAACAGAAATGTTTAAGAGAGTAAAATATTATATAATATATTACTATATGGGTAGGTGTTAAACAAAAATCGTTTAAGTTTTGAAATGAAATTTGAATTTGTCTAGTACGTACAATTTATGTGATGCAATCCAGAGTTATTATACTCGTACAGACCTATAAAGATTAATCCATCTTATATTTTCTCAAAAAATTATTTTATATTGCTACTACATATGAAAAAAAAAATTTAAATTTTTTGTGTGTTGATGTCAGGATGTGTGTACGCTGATTTTGTAATTGGTCACGATAAGTCACGAAAAATTGACGTATCGAGACCGGTTTCTTGTATTAGCTTCAGAATTACATCAACCGGTTCCCTATTTCATATGAATAGGGTAGCAGGTACGCGTAGATTGTTAAATAAAATCATTTTTAAATGTACCTTCTACCTAATAATTTCCATTTGATTTTTAATTTTGATTTTGATAACATTATTTTTATAGTCCTTGATAGACAAAGGAGAAATGTTGTTTGTGTAATCGATTTATTTTGGTAATTATTTGATTGAGGTATTTGTCTCACGTGAAAACGATGGCTCTTTTTTGTTTTTTTTTATTTTTATTTTCTGTACGTGACCAGAAGCTCTAAATTTAAAATACGTAAATAATATATTTTAAACGTCATAAATATAATTATTACAAAAATTCTCTAACAGGCAAATCATTCTTACGGGCGATATAAACATTAATACGATGCCTTTCGACATTCATAATAATCAATTAAATGAATATCTGTGCATATTAGCTACTCATGGTTTAGAACAAGGTGTTACACATCCAACGAGGCTCAACAACTGTCTCGATCACTTTATGATAAAGACGACTGAAAAATGGCAAACCATGGTTTTTCCACCATTAACTGATCACAGTCCTATTCTATTACAAATAAAAAACGCCCGACTGCCAAAGATAAAAAGCACACACACAAAACAGGTACTAGATTACGCCCGGGCGTTAAATAATCTAAGTGCCATGGACTGGTCACATTATTTTAAGTTGCGTGATGTAAACCAAACTGCGGAACATCTTGTCAATATTGTTACGAATATAATTAAGGAGTGCACTAGCACTAAGTACATACCAAAAAGAAAGCACCTCTTAAGCCTTGGATCACGACAGGCGTTGTAAGATCAATTCGTAAAAGAGATAAGTTGCATAAAAGGGCCAAACTACGACCGAATAAAGACACAATTAACACATATAAAAATATAGGAACACTTGCAATAAAATATTAAAATTTTTGAAGCAGCAGTATTATCAAAAGGAACTACTAAAAAGTGAAAAAAATATCAAAAAAAACCTGGAATATAATAAAGGACATATGTAATATGAAAATGAAAAACGATGTGCCTCCAGAGTTGCTTAAGATTGGGAGCACTAAAAAGGAGTCGTTAAACAAGATCAACACATACTTCACAACCATTGGTAAAAGTCTGGCAGACGTCATCCTACAGAAACGAAATAAAACGGAGCTCGAATTAGCAAGGCAAGCGTTTGTACAATCAAACTCTCAGCTTCAATCTATGTCTTTCGTACGCACAGACCCATATGAAATTAATAAAATAATAAATAATCTAAAATCTGAGAGTGCACCAGGTCATGACGGCATTTCCACTAGGTTTGTCAAATTAGCAAAAAAGTACCTTGTATATCCAATTGCACATCTTTGTAATCTTAGCTTAGAACAGGGAATATTTCCCGATTTATTTAAAACGGCTATCGTGTCTCCAATTTTTAAAACGGGGGACAAACAAGATGTCTTGAACTATAGACCGATTTCTATGCTGTCTACCATGTCAAAAATTGTGGAAGGGTTAATCAACCGTAGGTTGATTATTTATTTAGAGAAAAACAAACTATTAACTGATTATCAGTTTGGGTTTCTCAAAGGAAGGTCAACGGATGACGCCTTATTGAAGTTGACATCTTTAATTACCTATTACGTTGATAGAGGAGAGAAGGTCATTGGTGTTTTTCTTGACCTAAAGAAAGCTTTTGACACAGTATCAATTCCGATACTATTGTCTAAACTAGAGGGCTTGGGCATCAGCGGTCATGTATACCAATGGTTCCATAGTTACTTGGCAGGTAGACAGCAATACGTTAGAGTAAATAAAGACCTAAGTGACGCCTCAACCTGTGGATTCGGTATTCCACAGGGCAGTACATTTGGCCCGACTCTCTTCTTGGCGTATATTAATAGTCTTCCAAACGCATTAACATCTAATACGGAAGTGCTAATATTTGCTGATGACACTGTCTTACTATTTCATGGGCAGAGTTGGAAACAAGTACAAACTTTTGCAGAAACCTGTTTTAAGAATGTATCAGCTTGGTTAGAGAATAACTTACTCACACTAAATATTTCAAAGACCAAATACCTCTGCTTCTCGAGGTCTGCAACTTCAGGTCCAGCTCAAGACTTTACAATCACACTACATTCTTTACCATGTAATGGAAAGCTTACTAGCCAATGCAATTGCAGCACATTAACTAGAGCCAGATGTATTAGATACCTAGGTATTCAAGTAGATGATAATTTGAGCTGAAAAGAGCAAATCATTAGCATCTGTTCTCGGGTTAGAAGACTTATATATATATTTAGACAACTAAGAACAGTCGCTAGTAAAAAAATTCTTATTCAGACTTATAAAGCGCTCTGCCAAAGTATCATTAATTATTGTGTGACGACGTGGGGTAGCGCACCAAAAACAACAATGATTCAACTTGAACGCGCGCAAAGAGCAATTTTAAAAGTACTAATGCACCTAACGTACCGACATCCTACTAATAAAGTCTACAACGAGACTCAGGTACTCTCAGTTCGCAAGTTGTTTATAATTCAAGCTCTCCTGAGATACCACCGTGTAACTGCCTACTCACTACCACGAACCAGTAAAAGAAGATTTCGGTGCCCTATACCCACTACCAAAACCACCTTTATGCAACGAAACTACAATTTCATAGCACCATACATATATAATAAAATTCCCACTGAGAATATTGTTAGCCTTATAACTCTAAGCACCAATAGATTTAAAAAATATGTATTGAAATGGTTGCAAAATCTTGACTATGTCCAAACTGAAAATCTTCTTACAATATCTAAATAAAATACAATCATTAAAACACGCACAGACACAATCACAGACACAATACACACACACACACACACACACACACACACACACACACACACACACACACACACACACACAAACGCGCGCGCACGCGAGCGTCACACTTCCGCACATACGCACAACAACAATAAACAACACATTAAACAGTATGTAACAGCAACGGCTTATAAATTAATATTAAAGAATAATAAATTGTCTTATGTACTTGCCGAATATAGACCTAGAACTAAGAATTAGGGAAGGCACTGTTTCCTGAGATACAGGTGATAACCTAGTTCAGGAGACAGAGCTCCTTTGTATTTAGACATATTTGGTTGCTAATAAACGTTATTTATTATTATTATTATTATAATCTTTTTTTCATCAAAATTAAGTGAGCATTATGAGACTTTGGATTTTTACAACTACCTTTAAGTGTAATAATTTTGAATTATATTTTATATATTATTGTACATTTGAATAATTAGCAATTATGAACGCAGTGATAGCTTTTGAATATTACCGACTATCAAATACGCATCTACATACATCATGTTCCTGATAACAATGCGAAACAATAAAAAACCGTGGTTGCCGTGGCTACTACATTTTCTACAAAGCTCCCCTCGCCCTCGTTCCTGACACTAGATGGCGCTAGTGTATGACGTTGACTTATTCACGCAACACTACTATGGCAAAAATACCCCTATGAGGCACTGTTGGGAGACCTATATTCAGCAGTGGACTTTTATAGACTGTAATGATGACGAAATGATCAAATACGCAGAATATTCTATAGTACCCTAAGTATTAGAGCTAATAAAGTATCACAAAAAAGGCGCTAGCTTAACTATGCTCGGTTTAATGTTATTTAAGATCTAAAACTGGCTAGCGTGCAGGCTAACGAATGACAGTGATGTGTGTCAGTGAAAGATGTCTTCAGTGTATGATTATATTTCACTGTATTCTAATTATTCAGCATATGTCAGCCGATTATTAGATGCAAATTTTCTTTTTTACCCCTCAGAATTTGAATATTTTTTACTTTCCCAATTATCACTAATAGTAGTAGTAAGTAAAAAAAGTAAAATGTTTTTAACAAATTATTGTTAATATATAACCGTTACAATATTATTACACTTTTAAGTGATGTAGTAGTATCTGTTACATACTATTAAAATAAAGGGTCGTTTGGTATGGTGTGAATACTTCAACGACAGATATTTAAAATATTAAAAGTGGATAAAACGGTTCAAATTTATCACTTCACCTTGAAAATATAATATTCCAGCCCGTTATCAATTAACCCATTAACGCCCAAAATAAAACTATTGTTATTTTTGGCATGTTATTATATTTTATTGCTTTAATAGTACCTATATAAAACATTTATAAGAAAAAATTCTTCTTCTTCCAATTGAAAAAGGCTTTGTGCCAACGCGCGCCTTCTTCGAAAGGATAATTGGTCCATGTATGTCACAGTCGTATTTTCTGCTGATTTGCTCAGTAAACATACAGTCTACAAGCGTTAGAGATAGTAAATAGGTAAATATTACCCACCACCACTTCTTTCCTCTTGTCGAAACTCGGTACAGACTTATGGAATATGGTCCATCTGATCTACACCACCCATTCCTTTGTTGTAATTCACGAATAGTCCTGGTATATTCACATTTACTTTTTGTCTTCTCGTACTGCACCACCTCCTTACTTTTCCTACAGGTTCAATTTTGTCAAAATTGGTACCCATAGTGACAACGTTGTTGTCTTTCCAGCGTACAACCGCAATTTCATTTTTTGTATCAAAGCGATAGTCATATTCTGCTCTAGGTCGCTTTTTCATTTCTTTTACAGAAAGAAGTTTTTTTGTTCTATTATCACGAATTGTACCAGTCGCTCTAGTTTCTTGAAGACGCAAATCATGCGGTAGTTGGTAATTCGTGAAAAAGTTATCAAAATACACGATATGTTCTTTACATATGGGCGAGTAAAATTTTACCTTTGGACTATCTGACGAAGCGTTTGCAGATTTGCCACAGTAAATATCAAAAGTATTGCAGTAACCGTGTGAACTAGTTGCGACCCAGTTTTTGTATCCGAACCGTACGGGTTCTCCTCTAAGAAATTTTTTAGCTGGATGACAACCGAAATATTTTATCAAAGACTCGTCCACAGATAAATTTTCGTGTAAAACTCCCCACTGACAAAAGTTTCGCTGAATCAAATTGCACAAGGGTCTCACTTTGAACATCTTGTTGGTTGTATTATTTGCTAAAGAATTATCAACAAGGTGTAAGTATCGCTTTATATCTGTAAATCTATTTCGAGACATGCAACTCGCTACTAACTGAATGCCCAGATCTTCATCTAAACTCCAATACGCACGTTCAGATGGTAGTTGATGGTAGCCAGTAAGAATCAATATACCCAAAAATCTTTTCAAGTCAGAGATGTCCAGCTCAAAATTGTGCTTGTTTTGTGTTGTATTATTTTGACCAGTGTACAATCAGGTCATCAAACCAGTCATCAAACATTTTTTCAAACAGCATAACTGAACTATAATATTTTAAGCTTTCAATAGAAAGCTATACTTTGTTGTCGGTTTTGTAATGTATCTGTAGCATCATAAACACCACTGTATTGGGGTAAAGTTTTCCTCCAAACATGTACTTCGGGCTGCTCGCGTTGGTTTCTAGGCCGCTTATTTCTAGAGTGTTCTGCGGTCCCAGCAGTGTTTGATAGGGGCTCATCGTTACTGTCATTCCAGTCCGAAACGTCATAATCAGGATGGCGGTGAATTACCTCCAAAGTCCCTGGAACATCCCTTGGAAGTGTTGAAGAAACTAAGTCGTCTTCATTACCCTCTTCTTCGTCACTTACGATAGCAGGATATGGCGGTAATAACACTACATCATACTCTACATCTTGATCTTCACTAGCCAGTATCGATTCTAGTGCTTCCTCAAGCTTCGAGTAGTTATTTTGATTCGAAAAAACGCAGCGGTTCGCTATTTACTGGTTTTCGAGTACAACTATAAAAAAAAGTAAAAATAACATATACTTATGCCCATTGTACTTGTCTGTGTACAGAGGTATAAATCATCGTAATATGGCAGATTTAATAAAGATTTTATTTAAAATACAATTTGACAAGCAGTAATAAAGTATTATCGAACGTTAACATCCAAAATTTATCCAAAACCTTTAAAATATTTATTTAAAATCAACAATAATTACTTACCTCCAAATTAAAGTCACAAAACCGTTTCACGAAATAAAAATGTTGACATTAGTTTACGCGTCACTGTCAAAACGATTGATTTTATAGTCTATTAGAGTCATCTAGTTTCAAAATAAATAATTAGTTCGATTGAAACAAATGCCAAAGTACATCAAATATCGACATAACGAGGTGTACTCAAGCTCAGAGGGCGTTAATGGGTTAATAATATATTATTAATTAAGAAAAGCGTGAAATGCACATTCATTGTCACCCCGGAAGACTGAGATGCAACGCCTTTGCACCAGTAAATAGGTCCTCATTTCTCGTCTTCTCTAACTGTAAGAAACACAACAGTACTATCCTGCTACTTTCCGCTTGTATTATCTGAAATAAGGTAGCAATAGTATTTAATGTACCTATGTAAGTTTTTAGTAAACCGCGATTAGAGGAGATATCGATCAATTTATTTTGTATAGAGCTTTTTAATTAGATAGAATGACAAACTTTCAATATATCCCATGTAATTTGAATAATAAAAATAAGAATGAAAGTATATATTATCATTCAAATAAACTGTAATATTACATTAGCCTAATGTTTTTATGACTCATGGATTCATTTCGTGAACTCATGGATTCATTTCGTACCGTGGGTATCGTAAGAGGCAAGTATAGGAAATGCTAGCAAAATCTTATGGTTTCGGATAAATGACTAAAGAACCACCTTGTTTAGACCAGACTGGCAACAATTAGCAATTCAAAAAGTATTGTACTACCATCGCCAATCATTCTATTCAGCCATTATTCAATCCTGACAAGCGTGGCGATTAGGGCAAATTTTCTCTACAAAAGCTAAAACACATTTCCAGCTGTTTGTGTGAACAAGTCTATTCATTATATTGAAGGCACAGCTATGCGTTTCATAAATGTCGCTGATATCACCTGGTTCATTTAAAATTTCATTCATTTCTTGAATTCGGATATCGCGCCATCAATAGGTACTTACTGGTGTACAGTTTTTTAAAACCGTTGAATTTTTATTTACCTGCAAAGCATTACGATTACAACAAATCAACCCGACTAAGGTTAAAAGGCTCACAGTAAGCAGTCGACTCTTTACAGTTAAAACATATGAGCTTATTCAAATATTATAAAACGTCTACATAATATCAACTATAGTAGTACAAACTTAAACTTTAGTTTTTTTCCAGAAAATAAATAATGCTTCTGTATTAGTTCGAACGGATTTGGTTTAGGTTGGAATAACGATTTTCTGGTAACTTAAACGATACACAAAGTACTTGTACAAATAGTTTCCCATTTGTTGCCAGCTCACCACCTTTTATAAATAGTTTATATTTATTTCTTTTTGTTTGAACTGTATCAGCCAAGCGTTGTTATGGCCCAAAAATATTGTCAAAAGTATGAAAAACATTCCGCATGTGAATGTAAGGTTGTGTAAAAATTTCAAAGTTATCGGTGAAGAACTTTCGGAGATTTAGAATTTTGAACAAAACATTAATACTTATTTAAAATACTAGTTACAATTTATATTTACCAACATTTTCATATTGTTCTTGCATATAACAAAACGTTTAGCAATAAAGAATGTGTTAACTGCGTTATTTACCTAGCATGTTGTAAAAGGTGACTAAGGGGACATTGGGATCTTGTAACGTAAAACAACGCTGCAGCTATTTCTGGCTCCCAGATCGGACCAGGCTCTCTCAGAATACAAACGCAAAATAGAAGCTTAATACTGTCGTTTCGTATCGTAAGTGTAGAGAACTAGAGACCCCTTTTACTGGAAACGAGACATTACATCTTTCAAGGGGTGACAATATTAGATTTTTAATAGAAGCTGTATATGGACCACAGCAACTACATAGTATCACATGGACAGTGTGCTTGTATGTCACCCTCATTTCATTAAAAAAAATGGTTTGTGTACTGTATAGGCGATGGGATAGCTACCAAAAAATTCTTTAACAATATTATTTCCATATAAACTCATATTTTTGGCCTTAACGTAGTTCGAGTAGTTCACTACTTATTGGACTCTGCTTACTCTGCTCCTCAAAGACGCGTGGTTGGTTATGCGTGCATTCTCAAAATCTGCTTTGAACTCAAAATAATTGCAAGAATAAAAACATTTTAGCCGACTTCAAAACGGATAATGTTCTCAATTCTAATCTCTGTTTCTTTTTTATGTGTACCGATTTTAATGATTTTTTTCTTTTATTAAATAAGTTGTTATACTTTAGGGGTGGTGTTATAAAATTTGAGGAAAAGGAGGTGGGTGTTAAATATGGAATGAAGTTTTAATGTATCGGCTTAGACGAAATTCTAGTTATTATCTTGATATTTTAAAATCCTATGGTTCTACAGTCCCATTGTTGTGCAATTAAAAAGGTCAAAATAAACTTTTAACAAAGTTAAGCTTGCTAACGCATAATGAACAAAATATTTCAAGCCATGATTTCGGAAGCTATTACTTGAAAATTATTTTATTCTTTTTACGTATTCATGTCGGCTTTTACTTTTTTAAAGGTGAATTTTTAAGTTTTACCAAACGAAACTCACATATATTATGTTGCTAATTAACATGCCTAAATTACCGGTTCAGTACCATGTTCAATCCTTGATTTGACAGCTCCTCCGATAGCTAACGCCATGCAGTCGGTGTTTTTATTTACTACTACAATGAAAATATTCTCCAGATATACATACTCACAATAAGAAACATAAGAACTTTAGTATGCTATTTTAAGCTACGGTACTTTGTGAGAGCGTAATCCTCCCCCAGTCGAGTGGATCTTACCTAATACAACGATTTTTGTAATATTTATACCAAAAGTAATATGATTAAATAAGAACTGAAGGCACAGTTAGAGCTAATTCCATAAGAAACAGAAGGCAGACAAAACCAATCAAATTTTGTTTTGCGCTTCAGTAGTTGTACCTTCACTTAACTGAATAAAGAAAAACGGTAAAAGGAGAAGTAAAGATGAATAAAGGGCAAAGTTTCATATTCCATAAAACTGATAAAAGTATTTTAATTAAGTACAAAAACGAGTTGTAAACAAATAATTTAGTTCGGAAATTTAATCGTAGTAAGTTAGTACTGCTGCTATGGGAACAACTTTATCGTAATTTTTTCCTTTTTATATCGTTAAAGTTGACAAATTAAAACATTAAAATATTATAAGTACTTTAGAATAATCAAAGTAAACAAACAACCAAAATTAAAATAATATGTCTTAAATATAATATCGTCATCGTACGAATATCGTAACGAAGACGTTGCAAAATTTGTCAGTTTTAACACTGCAATTAAGAATTGTATATCACGCAAGTACGCAAACAAATAAAGTTAAAGGATGAAAAATGTTCTTAAGCCTTACTAACAGCAATTAAATTGATGAACGTAGCAAGTGGCTACCTCTCATAGAACGTTGTTTTAGGTCACAATTTTCTTAAACGATTACAAATAATTTTCCAACGATTCTTAGAGAAATGAAATAAGAAATTTGAAACTTTATACTCGATTCATTAAAAGAACAACCATAAAGGTTTAATATTACGTAAAAAATAATTGTTTATTTTATATATCCGTTAAAATAAAATTATTTTGATCTTTATATTGATAATTAATTCGGGCGTATCGTAGCGCATTACAAAGACCATTTTAAAGGGCTATTCCTTTGTATTATTTACCAATTTAATACGAGAATAAATGAAATTCGCGTTTCGTTGATCGCCACGGCACACTGGTTTTAATTACTTGTTTGGTGTGGATATATAAAGGAAATCTAATGTTCTTTATCGCTCTGATAACAACACACCTATGAAAACACGGCGTCAACACTGGTACTAATCCTATAAACAACAACCGAACGCAAGCGTGAGATCATACCGAGTCATGCTTTGAAGCGGCCGTGGGAGCGAGATCATTCTATCGCCAGTGCTCGCACAGGGCGGGCGTATCTGCTCGACTAAGATTGATTAATTACTTTTATTGCTAAGATT